TGAGAGTACCAAAAAGAAAACGGAGTGGTACCCAGGCTCGGCAAAACTCGGAGCGCAGTGAAATTCAGGGTCAGTAAAAACAGCCTCGGAGGTACTGGTGGTTTAAGGCCTTTTTCTCTTTTATTTTCTTTTCTTTTTTCCTCCTTTCTTGGACAGTAGGAACCTGCCAGTCCCTACTTGTGGCAGTCCCTACTGTCGGCCAACTCACTCACTCCCTCTCACTCTTTTTGTCTTATTCTCCCACATTTTTCTTTTCTTTTCTTTCTTTTTTTAGCATGCCAAGTGTCAAGTGGTCGTTAAGGCCCTTTTCCAGGCCCCTTCCTCTTAGTTTTGGCCCTCCCCATGCCCATGGTGCAGTCCGTTATATCTCGGACTGCAATAATGGCTTCCTCATGCCCATGGGAGCTTCCGTTTACCTCTACTTCTCTCCCACAGTAGCCCCTCCTATTCCGATTTTCTCTTGGAGGCCTATTTTTCACATGAAGTCTCTTTTAACTCCATTTTCTTGAGGGAGGCTAGTCCGAGATTTTTCGGATTGCTCCCATGCCTCCCACTTCATGATTCTTTACTTTTTTTTTTTCCTTTTGGCCTTCCCGTTTGCTACCACTAGTGCTTGCACTAGTGATGCTAACATTCTTGGCCGTCAAGATCGAGATCTTGACGACACACGTTGTTTTAATTATTTCTCCTCATGTTGCTCCTCAATCCTTCTTGAGACCTTCTCATGTCCCCCGCCACTTGTCCCGCCAATGGTCCCCGACACTTTGTCCCGCCGGCGGCCCCCGACACTTTGTCCCACCGGTGGTCCCCGGTGCCTTTCCTCAAGGTGTCCCATGTTCTTTTGCCGTCCATTGCCTTATGGTGGTCTGTTTCCCTTGTCTTTTCTTGGGCCTTGTGCGCGCCGGTTTCTCCGGCCGCGGAGCCTCCACTCCGTGGTTTCCGTTAATTGTCGTAGGAGACCCTCATGTTGGGCCCTTATTTTCTAGCGTCCCACGCCCACCAGGCCGTCCACCTCCCGGCTTCCTTGTTCTCTCGTCGTCTGCCGTCCCGCGTTTTGCAAAGTTGACGGCCCCTTGGCCTTTGTTATGCTGAATTCCAATGGCCCTCCTGGCCTCATGCCATGCCCCTCTACGCCCATGTCCTGTCGCTTACTCGCTTGCCGTTGCAATACTCAGCCCAGGGCATCATTCCCTCCGACGGTCCCGTCCTAGTCCTTTGTCTTTTCTCTCTCGTCTCCTTACTCCGGATTTCTCTGTCGTGCATAATTTGGCTGTATACAAGCTCTCAAGCGTCGGGGCGTTATTCAGGACCCACCGGTCCCGACACCGGTCAAACTAGATTATCTTACTAACCCTTGGTCCATTTCAAGTGTCGTCTGGGTCGGGCGCCACTAATTCGCCCCTTGCGGTCACGACGGTCCAGTCGAAAGGGGGCGATCAGGCCTCCTAAGGACTGTACCGTCGCACCGTCTTTTCCGCGGCTTCAGCCCCGGGGAATTTTAACCGACGTGTTAGGGCCCGTTTGACTATGACCGCGGACAGCCCTTGGAGCAGATTTGACACGGCACGGACGCTGACCGCGTCGAGTCAACTTCCGCTGACGCGATGCGTTGCCCTCTGACACAGTGTGCAGGCGCAGCATGTAGCAATGTGGCAGGTGATGACATTGGGGATAGTGCACGCAGTAGAGACACACTTTTTGTGAAAGCTTCCTGGAAACATTGACTACACATGGCATGTTGCTGACATGTCAGCAGGAAAGCAAGCTGATGTTCGTCTGCGTACATCTTGCATCGTACAGGTCATTTCAGTGTTGTTACCTTTGCGAATAATTCATGGACCCTATGGGACAATGGTGGTAGGGTATACACTATGGGAATATCTCTTTCTATCACCGACGATAGAATCTCATTCGGTCTGGCTGGTCCATCAGGAGCAGTGCATGGATGTGCACTCACAAGCTCTACAGCCTCTGGACGGCAATCTGGCTGAACCTCCCCCATCCCCTGAGCAGGGCCAAGCAGCCTCCCTTCCCTGTGTAGATCAGTCAGATACTATGGCAGACAGTGAAAGGGTTAGTGTGTCTCCACACACAGCAACAGTTCGGTTAGCATGCACACGGGGCATAGTCTCTGCGCTGAACAGCTTGAAGGGATGGTCGCTGCCAGCCACTGTTGCAAGAACTGGGACCCTGTACTCAACTCCTCCACCCACCTTCCGCCCCCTAATTACTGGCCCAGCATGCCGTTGTGACCTGCCATGCTTAAACAACTGCAAATGTCAGCCTGCTTTCCTGCTTGCTTACTTGCCCAGCATGCCGTTTTGGCCTTGACATTCCATGGTTAAATAACTGCGAATGTCAGCCTGCTTTCCTGCTGACATGTCAGCAACATACCATGTGTCGTCAACGGCGTTGGTCACGACTCTCTCTGGCCAGCCGAAGGAAACCAGTTTTCCGGTGACCAACCTTCAACGTGCTGAACTCAATATGCATTGAAGATCCGAAGAAAAATGTACAGGAGCGTGTCTATAGATGCATGCCTGTGTTGTAGATTGCTACCAGAACAATCCCTTTTCCACCCAGCTGCTACCTTGTTCTTCCATCATAACTCCTGGGAGCGAAGCCGTTCACAACTCTCAAGGAGTTGCATTTGGGAGCGGTGTTTGGGGAGGGCCGAACTTTGCAAAAAAAAAAACCATGCAGCATTGCCATGGTTGTTCTCCACCTCGAAATTCAAAGCAAAATTCAAGTGGTACATAAAAGTTGTTAAAAACCACATTCGAACTTTGTTTTCTCTTTTCGTGCATATGGAGTCTAAGGATTTAAAGGAACCTATACTCCCTGCAGTTATGTTTGGGGGAATAATGCAGAGAGCTTCCCATAATGCGTACAGAATCCACAATACCAATCGAGTGACCAACATCTTTGTGTGTGGGGAAGTAATGTCCCATTGACTGTCCTGATCGTCATGGTCGTGGGAGGGGGGAAATCACATGGGTCGCTATGTTGGAACTTGGAAGCGAGACTCGTTATGTTGGATACAACCTGAGTATTTGTTCCAATCTTTCCAAGATGTGCTGATCCCGTAATGTTAACAAAATGCACAACGCCATAGCAGAGAGCTTCCTCTTTGCAGTAGCAGTGAGCAAATCAATCTGTCAAGCAGAACTCTCGCCACACACATCAAAACAAACAATTAATCACAAAACGAGCAAATCAGTTTCAAGTCGATACATTGCCGATTTGGATTCATTCCCAAAAAAAAGCAAAAATGTGAGAAGTAACCACACACACAACAAGATACTGTTGTTCCTGGCCAAACAATGACAAGCAAAGGGTGATCACAAGCAGCGGGGATGTATACCGTGATATAGGCAAATGACATGAAATAATCCGAATGACAACTTTGACTGACTGTACTGAGAACACGTAAAGTTGTAAACTGATGTTGAGTTCCACCATTACAAGGAGTAGGGGTTGCACCTTGTCAAGCCAAGCATCGAGAAACAGGACAAGAGGGCCGCCTGACGATGACCCCGTGGACACATTTTGCTGCTGCTGAAGAGCTGAAACCAGCGTATCATTGGAAAGAAGCTGGCCAAAATAGGTGCTGTTCTGCAGAAGCACTCTTGCTAGGACGGTGGCTGCCTGAGCCCTTATCATATCAGACTCTCCCTGTCCCCTCACCACGATCATCATTAGCTTCTGCACAATCGCACAAGGAGGCCAAATGAGCACCAGACAGAACAGGCAGGCCTTTTCGAGGAAACAAAACGATTAGGAAACTTGCCTAGCTCAGTTGGTACACCCCTGAATTGTTGAAATACAGACGTGCGCTCAAACACCAGTGAAGCAGATGTTAAAAGAAAAAGGGGAAGCTTGGATAGCCACTACATCAAGCAAGAGTAACAGCGATCCAAATTCTTATAACAGCAATATGGAGATGGGAAAACGTTCTCCTGTGGAGAGCTCCAGATTCTCACAACAGCAAAATCCAAGATAGGTGACGCAGCAATGCAACAGAACAGTGCTTGACAACTGCACATAAGCACTGCTCAAAGGAACCAAGTTGATATGCTTATGCTACTTAAGTGATCTCGTCACAGGGCAGACATCGATCACTGCAAAAGACCAGCATTTGTAGAAGTCCACAAAGCTAGGGAAGTTTCAGGAAGTAAAGCAATTATAAAAGAACCTCACAAAATGCTCCTGGATCGTACACCAAACTCACTCTCCAACATGCCAACAATATATTCCTCCTAAGTCAGCCACACCAGCCATCTCACGGAGGCAAACGACAATGACCAGCAGCTCTGAAATGGAACAGATTGAACTGACAGCTAACCTTCGCAAAACTGAGTGACACCAATACACTCTGGTAACTATTCACATGTGTTTGTTTGAGGACTCCCACAGCACATCACAGTCTATGCTGAAACCAGATCAGTAGGCCAAAGTTGCATCATGACCCTTTCAATGACTGAGTCTGGCACCTTTGACCTGTTTTGTGGGTCACACGAGTGAGCAATAGGTAGCCCATTTCATCCGGGGGATGTGGCAGGCAACCGTTTGTTTTGCACTACTTTTCCACCACCTCTTGTCCTTCACAGGCTTCCTCACTTCTCTATCTTTTCTTTTGGTTTATCCACTTTTGTCAGATGTCTGGTTTTCTATTTCTTGTTCTTTTTGTTTCAACTAATCCTCAGCTTTATATCCAACAGAGCTCCTTTCCATTCTGAGGAGAAAGAGCCCTGCTCCTTTTTCTTTTTTTTTCTTTTTTTTTCTTTTGATAAACAGAACCCTGTGGGCCTGGCTCCATATCCATTCAGGGGAGAATCAGTCCAGTTTGTTTTCCACCGGCAAGTTGAAAGAGTTGCAACAAATGATACAACCACGATTCCTTTCGTTAAGGCCAAAGGACCCCTGATCCGCATGGACTACCACACTCTTCGGAGAATCAAGTCACAAAATGCATTAATGAACCCTGTTGGTAAAGGCCTTGCAGAGGTGTCGACATAGTAGATCAGTAAAGTTTGTAACTTTCTCGGAGGACCCAAGTGAAAGGCATTTTAACGTTGCAGACCCCAAATTCGACTCTGATACATGCTCAGTTGAGCGATGTATATGAAGCCAAGGATCCACAAAGTGATGAAAAGGACTCGGATGGACAATGCAGTGTCAGCAAAGCATCAACAAGCAATGTACATCGAGATACATACGAAAATAGCACAATGTAGCGCAGCGGAAGACTCAAAGATATAACCTGACCTGTCAGATACTGACGCGACACCCCATCTTACACCACACATGTGAGAGACGGAGCAGGGACCACGTACATGGAAGAAAGGTCCCTCCTTGAACACACACATGGGGGAGGGGGGAGACCACGGATGAGAAGGTGGGGGAGAGGCAAGACGAAGATGGTGAGGAGGGAGAAGACCAAGATCGCGATAGTGAAGACCAAAAATAGTCTCCCAGCCAAATGTACAATCAATGTCTGCCTCAAAAATGTCGAATCAAATTCTGGGCTCCATGACCGATGAAACCTCTGCCTGATCTCTCTCTCTCTCTCTCTCTCCCTCTCTCTCTCTCTCTCTCTCTCTCTCTCTCTCTCTCTNNGTGTGTGTGTGTGTGTGTGTGTGTGTGTGTGTGTGTGTGTGTGTGTGTGTGTGTGTGTGTGTGTGTGTCTGTGTGTGTGTGTGTGTGAAAGAAGAAGAAGAAGAAGAAAAAGGAGGGAGGAGGAAGAAGAGATGGAGGGCAAGACAAAGAAGAAGAAGAAGATGTTGACATCCTCACTGTCTCACCTGCAGGTAACTGCCGCCATGTACTAACTGCCGCCGGTCGCTCTCTCTCTCTGTGCAGGTCGCTGGCGAGAGGGCCAGCTATGGCGCCCAGGTAGGAGCTCCGTCGACGCAGGTATGGTCTCCACATCCTTCCCTACGTACACCTCTACCTCTAGTGTAGCGCTGTCGCGCTGCTCCAGCAGCGTGTTGCCTAAGAAGTGAGCTACTCGAACTGTGTTTTCCCAGGCGTGGCCCCGCTATAAGTGACGCTGGGCCTCACGGGTGTGCCTCCATGTGCCTCTGGTCCTAGGCCAAAACGTGGCCTGCCTGGGTCCCTACAGGACGTCCAGGCCCTCCCTACGGATGCAGCAGAGAGTGTCCGTATCTGGACAACAACTGACCTGGCCCAAAAAGGGCCTGCCTGGGACTGTACAAGGCCCAAAATGCGGCCTTTGTCCGAACAGACCAAAAGTCTGTTCGGATGAACTGCAAGTCCAAAACGACGCCTGAACAGACAAAAATAGGACAGCAAAAATAAATAAATAAATAAATGAATACTGCCTTAAATTGATTCCTGTGGCCCTAAGGCCAGCCGTGGGCCTCCAGGGCGCATGTCCGAAGGGCGTGTGGCCTGGGGGCGCCCAGCAACCGTTGGGCCCCCGAAGCGGGGCCCGTGTGCAGGCTCAGCATGTGGCACCCCCCCTCCTTATGAAGTCAAGCCGGGGCCAATGGTGGAACCTGGACGCAAGTACGACATGGAGCCGAAGGTGCCAGCTTGCCTTGCTGTTTGCGTTCGTAACGTGCGAGGATATCAAGGGCTGTGGCCTGAAGTTCCGCACGGGTCAACGAACGGTCAGCCTTACAGCTACCATAAGAAAAGTGTACTAAGTACTCCATCGGCTTGGTGCCATAGCGCCACTGCAAAATGATGTCGCTAACCTCCTCAAATCCATCTATGGAGGGTGGGTCTTGCGATCGTCGCTTTCCGCCGAAACGAAAAAAGCCAACTTTGAACAATGAAAGACCGGGTATGGGCACCTGAATGACAAATGATGGTCCTTCAGGTGGGTCACCAGCAGGTGCCACAATGCACCAAGGACCCATCCATTTCGGAATTAGCTTGCGAGAGAGATCCTATTCGAGGCTGAATTCCGCGCCAGAGACCCAAACAAGCTTGTCGCCGCGGAACGGACACAAAAGACACTGGCGATTGGCCTGACGGCTCATGCGTTGCTGCATCTTCGACATCTGGTCACGTGCCTTGACAAGAAGCTCTTACATCCGTCGAATAGAAATGAGGTGGTCACCACTCTCAGTCACCGATGGGATGATAGTGTCTAATGACGACGTGACCGGCGAGCCATGCTCGAACTCAAAAGGCAGCATCCCGATAGCCGGATGAATGGACGACTTGTAAGCCAACTCGACGTCCGGCAGCCGCTCAACCCAATCCTTTTGGTCGGGACGGATGAGAGTGCGAAGAAGAACCTGTGCGGTTTGATGCGCCCTCTCCGTTCGGCCATCAGTTTGTGGGTGGCGAGCCGAACTCGGTTTGAGAGATGAGCCTCATCGTTTGATGAGCGCCAACCAAAAGTCGGACATGAATTGAGTGTCATGGTCGCAAACAATCTCCTTTAGGTAACCCTTGGTTCGAATCCAACCAGCGTAAAGAACCTCGGCCAACTCCAGTGCCTTGGCGTGATGAGGCAAGGCAAAAACATGGCGAACTTGGTAAGTCGATCGACCACGGTGAGAATCCCATCCACACCGGTCTTGTACTTGGGGAATAGCCCGATGATGTCCATGGCAGTCGATTCCTGTCGTCCTAGGGGGATCAATAGTGGTCGCAACTCGCCGTACGGACGATGGTTGCGGGATTTGCAACGCCGACAAATCTCGCATGACTCACAATAGTGCGTGACATCGCCGAGAAGGCCGGGCCACCAAAAGGGCTTGCGAAGTCGGTATATCGTACGATCGACTCCGAAGTGTCCGGTAACGGGAGCGTCGTGGAACTCGCCAAGAAGCCGCGTACGCAAGTGTGGGTCACTTGGCGCGCAAATATCATCCTTCCCTCGCGAGTGGACTAACAAATAGCCCTCTTGGATCCGATAATGCAATGGCGCCAAATTTGGAGAGGAGCAATTCACATACTTACCACAAAACTCGGGGTCGACTTGGTAGTCGTGGATGAAGCTGTCCCCCAAATCATTGTCAACCTCGAACATCGAGTAGACCGCGGTACAAAGGTCTGGGCGCCGTGAAAGGGCATCCGTAAAACGGTTAGACTTTCTCGGAATGTCATGTTGCTCGAGGATGGCACCAATGGCATAGCCGAACGCATCTGTAGTGATGTGCGTCGGCAAAAGCGGGTCGTAGATGCGTAAAACGTTCGCGGAAAGCAAGGCGGCTTTGAGGGTCAAAAAAGAAGGTCGTGCATCATCGTCGAAGTTGAACGGCCGATTCTCGCATTGAAGCTTAGTCAAATTACCCGCGATCTTCGAATAACCTTTGATAAAGCATTGATAGTAGCCGACCAGGCCAAGCAACGAACGAACATCCATTACGTTCTTCAGCTCCAACCACTCTTGGACGGCTTGAATCTTGTCCAATAACGGACTAATGCCCTACGGTGTGACAAAGTGGCCCAACTATTCCAACTCTTGAAGTACGAAGTCACACTTGTTGCGGTTGGCTTTGTACTTGACGCAACGCTCGTCTCCAACACATGTCAGAGGTGCTCGAGATGATCCTCAAAGGCCCGGCTATAGACGAGAATGTTATCCAAGTAGATCAGCACAAACCGGTCCAACATCGTGCGAAACTCGTTGGTCATTGTCGCTTGAAAAGTCATCGGGGCATTGATGAGGCCAAAAGGCATGACAATCCACTCAAAATGTCCGTATCGCGTCTTAAATGCGG